CATATATATATATATATATATAAATATATATATATATATATATATATATATTTACCTATATATATATATATAGGTAAAAAGAGTTGTTCTACATGTTCATAAAAGAAAGAGTACAAAAAATGAGAAATAAGAAGAAAGGACCCTATAAAATACAACAAAAAATATCTAAAATCTAAGGAGTGCCTCCATCCTCTAACTGGTTACAAACTCAACCATTAGTTACAATTCTGAGGTAAGGGACTTACAATTTATCCCCTTTAAGCAAGCAGTCCAGGGGTGAGGGGGGAGTAGTGGACACTGTGATCATTTGAGAATCAGCTCCATCTGTGGCTAAGAAGTTGGCAGGTCTGTTTCCTTCTTTGTAAATAAAAGAGAACCTCAACTTGATCTCCTTGCAAAGTTGTTGCATTATGATTATCCATTGCTGAATGTGCCAAGGAGGGGTAGAACTTCCTGTCATGTAATTAACAAGCTGAGAAGAATCTACCTCGGCTTGTAAGTGAGTCCACTTGTTCATAACAGTCATCTTAAGTGCCCAATATAGGGCCACAGTTTTAGCTTCAATGGAATCTTCTGCCTTAATAAGTGATTTAAAGTACAAAATGCATTTACTCTGCTGGTCGCTAAAGACCCCACCAATGCCTACTTTGTTTGAGGAGAAGCTTCCATCAATGTTTAATTTAATGAAAGGATGCTTTGGTTTCTCCCATATGACCTTGATGATCTTATATTCTTTCTGCACTTCAGTTCTACTAATTTGCAAAATGTTAGGAAAATTTTTCCATTGAATCAGCTTCCTTATATAAGCCAGGCAATTAATCACCACCTCTCCAATGTTAGAATCCATATCCTCATGTTTTAACTTATTTCTCGCAGCCCAGAGGAACGAAGCAATGATAAGAGGGATGGGGCCAATATTTAGCTTGTTCCAATCATGCAATCTCTCACCTAAGTTGTTTCATCCCAAATTTATAGTGTTGACATGAAATTGTGGTTGCAGGGAGTTCCACACCTTTCTTGAGAAAGCACAGCTAAAGAATAAGTGGTTTGATGATTCCATGTCCTTTCTGCATAACAAATATATAGAAGGTCCCTTCAGCACTTTTAACTTTAAAATGTCATCAGTAGGGATAAGGTCATTGAGCACTCTCCAAGAGATGATGAACATGGAAGGGTTAAGAATTTATTCCACAAGTACTCACTCCAAGGGATTATATCCCAATGATACAAATTTTTATATATAGCTTTAGATATGCTTTAGTTGTAGTTGGAGATTAGTGCCACCTTGTCTTTTCTATTCATGTCAACTTGTATTTTGGCAAACATACTAGAAGAATGATATTTAAGAATTGTATGTAGATTCTCCTCCAACCAGGAATGATCTCTCCAGCAATCCTTCACTAGCATATTACCATCCTGACCGTCTTCCAAAAGTTCCATGAATTCAGCAGGAGTTATCAAGCCAGAAACTGATGTTACCTTGACCTAGCTCCCATATGTATAGTTTTTCTTCCTTGTCCTTCACTGTTTGAATTTGTCTCAAAATTCTAGAGTCCCCCATCTTGCTAAATGTATAGTTTTTCTTCCTTGTCCTTCACTGTTAGCATTTGTCTCAAAATTCTAGAGTCCCCCATCTTGCTAGTCGCCAGATTAGGATGTTCATTTTGCAGTATTTAACATGCATAAATTCATCCCATAGGTTATCTTTTTGTCTGAATTTTAGCCACAGTCTGCTCATACTAAACTGTTTTAGTTGTTGGAAGCCTTTGAAACCAGGTCCACATGCATATAAAGGTTTTTCAACCTTCTGCCAACTAGCGCAAAGCATTTGTTTTCTTTGACCAGTCCACATGAATCTATTGAAGGTTCTCTCCAAAAATAGCTAAGTGCTCCTCTTCATGGCTGCCACTTGAAGGCGGTACATAGGGAAATTAGTTAGGATGCTCTCTAGGAGTGTAGTTCTGCCTCCATTAGACAAGAAAGAGTTAGCCCAAGTTTGAAGGGTGGAATTGGATTTATCAACAATCTTATCAAATTGAACCTGTTTGGTTCTTCCCCTAGTTAAATTAACCCCCAAGTATTTAAATGGAGTATCCATGGAAGTAAATCCAGTGAGGTCAAGTGTCTAGCGTCTGCAAGCAATGAGAACTTTTTTGCTGAAAATCACTTGACATTTTTGTTTGTTTACCTTCAGCTCTAAAGTGAGTTGAAATTGTTATAGGCACTCATTAAGGTGTTTGATGGCTGACTCATTAGCTGTGGAGAAAATTAGAATGTCATTTGCATAGAGTAGGTGGCTAATGTCCAATTTAGATTTATTATGATATATGTTATGGTTCTTCCAGTGGCTGGATTTGTCAATAAGCTTAGAAAAGTAGTCTAGAGCCAAAATGATGATGATTGGGGAGAGGGAGTCTCCTTGTTTCAAACCCTTAGTTGCCTTAAAGAAGGCATGAGCTTTTCTATTGATAAACATTGCATTTGCATTACCCTCTATCCATCTTTTGATAGTCTGACATGAATAAGAAGAGAAACCTCTAGCCCTCAAGTCCTCCATGATGAATTCCCAATCAACCATATCATAAGCCTTTTTTAAATCTAGTTTATATATATCATACTACCCCTCTGCAAGGCTTCTTTAGGTCCAGCAACAGTTCTTGAGCAAGCAACAAATTATCACCAATGCTTCTCACCTTCATAAAAGCTGCTTGCTTTTGGCTGATCAGGTGCTGTAGGATAGGTTGAATTCTTTTCACTAAGATTTTGCTAATAATCTTACTGATGACATTGGTTAAGCTAAGAGTTCTGAATTGGTTCCACTTATCTTTTAGGGAGGATTTAGTTATGAAAACTATGGTATCAGAACTGAAATATTATGGTAGTGGATGACCCTGAAAAAAATATTAAATTGCCTTGATGACATCTTCTTTTTTTACCTCCCAAGCCTTCTTATAAAAATCAGCTGTAAAACCATCAGAGCTAGCAGATTTTGCACTGTCAATTGTCTGAAGGGCCTATCTTATCTCCTCCTCATCAGAAATTCTAGCAATTTTCAGATTGGTAGTGATTTCTTTATCTGAACTGAACAATGTGTTATCAACATGCTCCCTATCAGACTGTCTACGCTGCATAAGTTCATGGCAATAAACCACAACACTGTCAGCTATCCCTTTCTCATCTCTAATCTAATTTCCTTGGTTATCTTTTATATAATGGATAGTATTACATTTCCTCTGATACTTTATACATGCATGATAGTATTTAAAGTTTCTATCCCCCTCAGTAAATTTGGTTTTGGTAGCTTTTTGCTTTAGAAACATTTCTTGCCATTTAACAATAGTGAGTAACTTTTCATTACCCTCCAGAAGGGAGGCTTCATTTGTGTCAACTCGTTCTGGTAGCTTTTTTTTACCTTCCCATCCTTGTGGTCCTTCTCCATTTGTGTCAACTTGTTCTCAGCCAACTCTACTCCATTCAAAAGGTTCCCAAAAGTGTTCCAGTTCCACTGACTTAGAGCTTTGCTCACTTTTTCTGAAGATTCCACAGCTTGATTAAAGGGTTGGGGTGATCACAATCCCTCTAATTATCTTCCACTTTTTGTATGAAATTCTTGTGACTTGAACAGACATTCAGGTACCTGAAGGAAGACCTAGAAATGGGCTCCTTTGCAGATATGGTGATAAAAAAAGGTCTGTGATTAGAACTTGCCAAGCTGAGGTGGGTTATGGTGGTCTGCAAGAAATTTTGAATCCAACTGCCATTAGCAAGCATTCTGTCTAATCTCTCCCAAAGTTTCCCCTTTCTCCAAGTAAACTCAAGGCCATTGTATCCCAAGTCAAAACGGCTAGCCTTTTGAATGTTATCATTAAAAGCACTCATTGTAGCAAGGCAAGGAGGCCTGCCACCCCTCTTCTCAGCAAGAGAAGCCAAGTAGTTGAAATCACCTCCCAAAATTCAAGCATTATCAGTTTAGCCTTTGATAGTGTGCAATTCTTCCAACAATTCCTGCCTAGCAGAATTAGGGCAACTTGCATACACAAAATTAGTACATCCAGCCCTGCCTGCCATATTGGAAGAGAGATGTATGAATTGGGGATGGTTCAATTGAATAGTAGATTGCATTTCAAATCTGCAAAGTATCTAAATCTTGTTATTTAAATTATTGAAAAGAGAAAACGTTGGAAAAGCACTTTCATATTTTTTAGTATTGTAATGAACCGTTAGTTCCAAAATAACCATACACTAAAATTTATACTTTTATATGTTTGAGTATTGTAATGAACCATTAGTTCCAAAATAACCATACACCAAAATTTATACTTCTTGTTTAGATACTTGAGCCATTTAATAGAAAGGGGTTGAGCTAGCCCCCTAATGTTCCAACATAGTAGGTTAATCATGTAGTTGAGGTGGAGGAAAGGAGTGTTGGGATCTAGATCTCGTCCTTCCCCTCATCGAATGAGAATTGAACTTCTTGTGAGCATTCTGACCTTCCTTGTTGTTGTTATCAAGATCTTTCAATGTCTGCTTCTCTTCTAGTTTTGAATTCTTTTTCTTTTTATTTCTGTGCATTTGTCAATCTATTTCGAGTAATTGGTTTATATCTAGAAGCAAATCTTCAGTTGGTTTTGTGATCTCCTTGTTCTCTTTTTCTATCCCTTATTCTGGAGTCTTAGTAGGTGAAACCTTGTTGCCCTCCCCATTATCAGCTTTAGGAGAGGGAGGATAAGTGTCCATCCCCTCATATAAATTATCAGTGTTTTGTGTACTCTTAACTATTTCATTTTGTATTTCCTAGCTGATACCTTAGGGATTTGCTACCTCAGCAGTTATGGGTTGAGTTAAATCCTGTCCTCCAGAAGCATTTCTTTCAGTTGTAATAGTATGTCCCCTCTCAGCAGATTCCTTAGAAGGGAAATTTTGGATCCTTTTCTTTGGGGGATGTAGCCTGTAACACCTTTCCACAGTGTGTCCAAACCTCTTGCAATGCCGATAACAATAAGGTTTTTGTTCCATTACCACCTCCTGCCAAAATCCAGGGAGGGTTATATTCCTTTCTGTTAGTATTCTTGCACTAGCAGGCCTGACTTTGTTATAGGTAGGAGCATCCACCTTTAAGGGGTTTCCAATTGCACATCCTATGTTGAACAAAGCATTTAGATTAAACAAAATGGAGGGGTAGGCCTGGTAACTTAAACCAAATGGGCACCACTGGTGGTTCCTTGCTAGGATCAAAATCAGGAGTCCATTTTAAAATTTTCATATCAGTTCCACCAATTGTTATGGACTATTTGGCAAACACCCTTGCATAGTCCTCTTCAGTGGTAAGTTGAATTAGGGGATGTCTTCCATCAAGTAAACCCAGTTTCCAAGCACCGATGAAATGCAGGGAGTCAAAATAGTTTCTCACAAGCTCAATTTCGGGATGTCCCAAGCTAAATTTACCAATAAGTGTGAATTGCACCTTCCTATTCAGATCAGTGAAATCATGTGCTGAAAAGAAGACAACAGGCTCCCCTTTTTTGAGACCCATAGGGTGGATGCAAGGGGAAGACCCCTTGCCCGTAGCAGTTTCATGAAAGGCTTGGGGGAAAAACCATCAAATCAGGATCAGATAGGATATCCCTTGTATTACCTACAACTCCAACATAATTGGCTTTTGCCCATTGTACATTAGTTTCTTAATCAACAAGAAGAGCCATTTGAAAAGACTCCACACCAAAGCAAGAGGCCCAATCTCAAGCTCCAATGGAACAATAATTTTTTGAATCTATCAAACCCTAGAAGGAGAGAAAAATAGAAGCTAACCTCCAATGCAGAAACCAAGCTGCAAGCAAGCCTTTTGCG